ATGGTACTTTATCCTACTCATTCAAATGCACAGGATAAAACGTCACCAAAACGCATTAACAGTGCATTCTATTTACAGAACTATTCTCTTTAATTTAATTTAATTTCTCTGTGGGCTAACTGACTTATGAAAGTTATACCCCGAAAGCCTGGAAAAGAGGCCACGATCATTTTACATGTGAACATCTAAATCCTTTGTAGTCTTTCAAGTAATAAGAGACAGTTTCTAACATTTATACCAAAAGCAACTTGTGCTGTTTTGGCTTTTGATGTCATGAAAACCTAATATGATTATGAAAGATTTTAGGGACTGGGGGAAATTGCTAAGGGATTTTAATAGAGTAGAATCATCCTAAATTCTAACCTAAATATTGATCACGATTGAAACACTGTTTTCTGGCAAATGTACTTGGTAAGGGGCTGCTTATTTTTCTTTTCCTTCTGTAGGTACTATTTTGTGAGGGTTTGGTTTTAATTAGATGCATGAAGTGAGGCAGATCTAGTGCCCTGCAGACTTGACCTCAAAAAGATGATTTATCCCATACCTACCCATTTCTCTCCATCCAAACTGCTACTACCATCAGGGTGAAAATCAGTTGTTAGGAGGGCAAGTTGGCTTTCCTATATTCCACAGTCACTGGTTGCATTCAGCTGGGTATCTTGCAAATACCTACATGCTGACAGTGCCCGTGGAGGTGGTGTGGTGGTGTAGGTGGATTAGTTCCAAGCCCATGCTTTTCCAATGGAGGAGGGAATGCTTGTACACTTATATACAAAGTCAGGAATTGATGAATTATTTTTACCTTAATATCTGAAATTGATATTAGCATGGTCTCCAAATACGATTTCAGAGCTTTGGGTTCTTGTGTCACTTGATAGCATAGACACTTAAAGCTGCAGAAATATAACATTCCCTCTGGAAACTGTCTATCGAATACAGATATTTGATTAATGAGTAAAAAACCTAATGTTCAAACCCAATTGGCATTAATCACATATGATTTTCATGGAATCTGAAAAATATTTTCCAAGAACTTAACTGTGGAAAGACTGGGAGGTTTAGGGAGGCCACTTGTAAATAGTCCAGCTCAGAAGACTCTACTTAAATGGGCTTCCTCAATCCAAAGGGAGGAGGCTAGACATCATGGGGTGCGCTGGGCCTGTGCCATTATGGGCCCAGAACTCGAGGCACATCAGAGACACCTTATTCCCTTCCATGAAAGGCACAACCCGTTTGTGATAGATGCACATACAAATTATGTTAAACTGTACTTGAAAGCAGAGTTGTCCAAGATAAAGAATCCTTAGGAGAGAGCTTAGGGATTGGAATGACCAACAATTTGCTTCAACTGGATCCAGAAACTTGGACATATGGAAATGCTGTTTTGGAGGGTATTGGTATTCTTTGGGTTTAAGAGACAGAATGAAGAGAGAGCTTAGAAATGGGAAAGTGAAGGATCATTGCTTGTGTAATGAGAGAAAGATGGAAACTTTGGAATATCTTCTGAAGTGGTCTTTAAATTCAACCTAAAGTTTAAAGGAGTCAATTCTTGGCAGAGGAAGTTTGAAATCAGTGCTTTAAAAAAATCCCTCTTATTCCTCATTGGACTATGAAATATAAAGAGTTCTTTCACAACTAAATGGATTTGGGATGAGTGCAGCAGCAATCTGCTTTTCTAATGGCCAAGCTCTTCAGGAGTAAGAGAATGTACCAGGATGGATATATTGACAGGTAACAGCATATGCTTCTTGATAACGGGAAATTCAAGTAATAAAAGTTCTCTTTTACATAGAAATTGCCTCTCTCTCTTTTTTGAGCAGCAAGTCTAAGTGCAATAACATTTCTTTTATTGAGGTAGCTTCTTCTCTAGCCCTATTGTTCAATGTTGGTTCTTACCTACTCTTTTATCCAGTTAATTAGTATTTATCTTTGAAAATGACCCTGTGTCACTTCTTCTGTTGCTTTCCTCCCTCCTGACATGTTTGCCTTCCTTAGCATCCATGTCTCTTCTTTGAGTTCTTCAGGGCTCAGTTTAGAGACCTCAAAATTTAGGAAACCTCTCGCCCATGACCATCCTCCCCAAGGTTGAGTGGGTCGACTTTGGGTTAATGATCATCAAAGCACTTACCTTATGAGAAGGAAACTTGCCAGCTCTTTCCCACTCTAAGCTTCTTGAGGGTAGAGATTGTCTTGTTCATCTCAGCATATCAGTGTTGTTATAGTTTTTTTTCCAAATGTACAAAATAGTAGCCCAAAAACAAAGTAAAGGAAAAGAATTCTAACATTAGAGTGGGTTGCATCTTAGAAGGCAGAGCAGGCCCAGGAACTTGGGCTGGGGCTATTAATACCAAGCCTTTGAATTAAAATAGAATTGAGAAATATATCAAAAGCTATTCATTAATTAACCAAATGAATGTGTTCAAATAGGTATTTGTAGAAGTATCTTCAGTTACACATGATTATGTATGTTTGATGTATATTTAACAAAACTCTCCCAGACAACATAATTAAAACAATAAGTAATATTCATTAATTGCCAGGTATACAAAGCACTTTGTTGGCTACTTCTTTCAATTTAAATCTTTTATTTAATACAAGTAAAGCCAACAGAAATTATATAGGAAAAAATTACCAAAACTTTGGAAGGGTTTCTGGCGCATTAGCTAAAAACATTATGAAATCAGCACTTATTTTGCTTTGCCACATTTTGTTTGATTTTAAAAAATGTTTTTATTGATTTCAGAGCAAGGAAGGAAGAGGGAGGGAAACATCAATGATGAGAGAGAATCATTGATCAGCTGCCTCCTGCACACCTCCCACTGGGGATCAAGCCCATAACTTGGGCATATGCCCTGACCGGGAATCAAACCATGACCTCCTTGTTCATAGGTCAATGCTCAACCACTGAGCCACACTGACCGGGCATGCTTTGCAACATTCTGGGTATATTACTTCTAATCTTCACGCTTCCATGTACCAAGGACATAGTCATCTGAATAGTGGATTCTTGGAATGCATTTAGCTTTCATTGTTAGAATGAGGACATCAATAAAATGATGCATTTTGCATTGGTGTAGTCTTTTTACCTCTGAAAGGATACCTACATATGATACCTTACAGCTATATTTTATAGGAAAAGATAGAGTCATGTTGAAAGAAAATAGAAAACCTTTGTCTTTCTTAAAATATACATTAACACAAATTCGCTTTTGATGAGTCTAAACTAAGATGATGTCATTAATTGGCTAGCTTCCAGGGCCCATGAGTGCTTCCTCCTAGGGATGGGGAAAATGGGGTTGCTGAAAATGAGGGGCTGGTGATCAAAGCAGATGTCAAAGGAGCCGTGAATCAGGAAAGTTGGGGTGTACCTCCTGAATTTCCAGTTGCTGTCCTTGGAGCCATGGAAACCACGTTTTACCCACGATACAGAGGGTGCCTCTTTTAATCTTTGATAAACCTACTTCAGAAGGGAAAATATGTTGTCTCCTTCACTGCCATCTTCCCACAAGCCTCATTCTCACCAAGCAAACCTATTAGTGTTCTTCGCAGGGAAAGGAAAGCAACTACCATTGATGACTGCATGGGGGACCACGTTGGACCCTGTAACAAGTGTGCAATTTTACAGATTAAACCATGGACAACAAAGGAGCTATTCTGGGGAAAAGGTATAAATTGGGTGAAACAATATTAATTGAAATATAACTATATGCAACGAAAGTCCTTGGGGTGTTGCTTTTAAGTCCAGCTCCCAACAGTTACCACTCTTGAGGGTTACCACTATTTCCTTTGTTCATCATATTTTTTGGGTGGATTGGTAGTTGGACCTTTGGATAAGTTGTGTAAAGGTGTGTATAGAGATATAATAGGATTTTAAGATAAACCAAACAAGCAATTCTAGTACATAGAAAATTTAATTTGAAACAACTTAAAATATTTCAAGAAGTTTTAATTCAGTGCTTTGGCACCAGGCGCTTAAGAATATGTTTGGGCCTGACCTCAGAATAGTTCAGGTAAACAGACATAACCAAACTTTTATATATGTATGTGTGTGTGCCCATATATGTACACATAAGTGTATATGCATGCACATATATACACATGTATACATATATTCAAGTTATATACGTATATATATTCAAGAGATACATATTAATCATTTATGGCACATTAATCATATATGGCACATTACTCTTAACCGGTGTGGTCTTTTTGAAGGTTGGTTATTCAGATATACAATGAAACTCCCTTTTGTTGAATCCAAGCTGAGTCTGAGCTGGAAGAAACCTGAGTGTGCACTTGGGCCTGTTTTTTGTCTTCAAGCAGACGGATGAACTGAAGCCACCAAGAGAGATGGACTGTTTGTTCTCCACCAAGAAGGTTGTATTTCTCAATGACTGGGATTCAAACCGTTACTTCATGAATTGATTTTCTTAAATAATATTTTTGTTAGTGGGAAACAGAAAAGTAGCTATGCGCAATTCATTTTTAGCTCGTTTCCAATCTGACTTTTTTCTAGAAAAGCCTAGTAGCAGTAGTAAGTATGGCAGAGAGGAAATGTGGTTCTCTATGGGAGTGAGATGATTTCAGACGGTTAAGCCTTCTCATTAAAATGATTTGTAAAAGTTTCCTGGAAGAGCACACCCAAAGACTTGCTTTCTCACACGAGCACAACCTTACTCAGGCATTTCCAAAGTCCCCAGTACTTTCACTTTTGGGTGGCTTTAAAAAATGCAATAATTAAAAAAAACAAAACTCTAGGATTTATTTACTAAATGTACCAAGTTGTTAAAAATGGACAAATATATCAATTTAGATCCTAAATTTGGGTTTATGTTCTTAAAATGAAGCATCAAGACCATAGAAGAACATGAAAATTTTATTTTTATGGGGGATGTGCATTGGACTAACCAGATTTCTGCTGTGTGTGGACATGTTTTTGTTTCCTTAGGTTGTCTCTGTTGTGTGCACACAACCGGGAGAAGATGCTTTTCTTTGTTTATGTTGGATTGGCCAAGGACACTCATGATATAATATGTAACTTAGGATTTTGTTTTATTCATTTTAAATGGTGAAAACTGTAGTTCTTAATCTATGAAGAATTCTCTAGATGAATAAATAAGAAAAATAGGAAAATATGTAAACTCAAGTTATGAGGTATTTTAAAGATACAGTGCCAGTAAAAGTTCTCTTTCCCACAATGTCCAACTGCCAGGTATCTTACTTTAGTCTTCCTAGCCTTGCATATGGAGAAATACAATCTGGAGATAAAAGCTTTTTTGTGGATGTGAGGGTTGCAGTAGTTCAAAGCAGCGTCAGAAAAAAAGTAATAAAGCGATATTTAAACATCTTTATAGGAGGACAAAAATATTTTCTTAAAAAGTAGTTAAAAGTTTTTTGTTTTTTTTTAGTCCTTAAAACACTTGCTTTTATAGGACACATGATTGTCTGTGTGACCACTCTTTCCAGAGGGAGGTTTTTAAATACTAGGAAAGTATGACTTATTCAAATTAGATTTTCCATGCTATATTTAGTTTTACAGATGTATTTAGTTCTAAAACTGTGGTTTACTGTATTCAGGGGAGAGTATGTATATAAAAAAATCCCAGGAACCCTTACACTCTCCTCAGACATAGTCAATTTTAGCACTACACTGTGATCTCTCCATTCCCATAGCTTATTGCTTCTGTTAACTAGAAATCCCTGGATTCTCTGTACCTAATTTTCTGTGGCTAGACTCTGAGAAACCGATCCATTATTACTTTTTTATGCATAGCCAAGTGTTTAAGTTTCTCAAAGCTTTTGACCTTTTTCTGAGAGATAAACAGGTTGTTCCTTTCACTATGTAACAAGAATCAGGAATTCCCAGCAAACTGATTTCATTCTGTATAATGCATATACTGGAAGCACATAGGTCACACACGAACATGCTCTCAGTCAACATACATAGGCATTCACTCGAGGGGTAAATCAGTACGAGCCAAGCATACATACATGTGCAAATGTACAATCGACAGCAAATTATTTTAGATCCTAATGTCCTTTGAATATTAAAAACGAGCCAGGAGACAGCTCCTGTGACATTTATATGAAAGCTCTAGATTGAAATTTTCACGTAGAAGTGGCTTCATATCACATCTCGTGAGTTTCGTATCGCGCAACAAAGGACCATGCTGAATATCATGCCGAAGATCTGAAACAGAAGAAAGCACTTATTAATGACTTTCAAATGATAAAAATTGATGCAAAGGTCAGCAAACTGTGCGTCCAACTCAAGTTAACATAATATAACCAATAATTACTGGTTATAAATGGTATTTACTTAATTATGACTACTGGTTAAAGACGTCCATATTAACTATGCTTAAAATGCATTCCTATTTTATTATTGTTAAAAATATAGCAAGACTCTGCTTTAAGAAAAGGGCTCTATTTCTAGCCTCTCGGACAGCTTTTAATTGTAAAAGACTAATAATACACTACTGGTTTGGGAATTTTATATTTCAGGTTAATCTCTTATATATTTACTTTGAAAAGTGTTTATAATCACTAGTTGTTTAAATATGCTTGTGGTCTAAATAGTTTTCTATTGTTGAAAATGCTTCAAATTTTTGTACCAGTGACAGCATATTAAAAAGTGGACCGTCTCTTCATTTCCAATTCATTTTTAAGTATAAATGATGCTTCACTATTTAACCCAATTGTTTTACCAAATCATAAACTAAGGTGTTTGAGCTATGGTTTGAGGTGTTTCAATATGGTATTACTGATGTCTTCTACATCTTGGATACTTCTTGGAGAAGCCAATTACTTGGCAAGACCAGTAGCCACGTATACAGTTTGAATAGAAGGATGCCAAAAGATCCCCTTGTTCTCAATCATTTCACCTACAATTCTGCAGAGCCTGAGGAATGTGCTCCGTGTGTACAATGTTTATAAACTATTGTCAGTGTTTGTTTAAAGAAACCAGTACCACAACTCTCTGGTTCTCTCCTCAATCCTGACCTACATCAGACTAGGATCTGTAAATGTTAAGTTAAAGAAGATGTGTTTATCAGTTATTTCAGAAGGGTGGGAGTAGACTTAAGTAAGGGAATGGCCTCCAAGCTCAGGCAGGGCTCCAAGCTTCTGGCTGACAGAACTCGGTTCCAGTGTGTGGCAGGGGAGACACCTAATGGACATTTGGTTAACTGACTACACTGTGCAACTCTTACCTTAGGAAGAAAATATTAAAGGAGACTCAGTCTATTGATTCAAGATGGCCAACAGAGGGCATTCCCCCTGGACTATGGTTGTAAGGTTGGACGCAACCCCTACCTCACGTGGGCTGTACTCTAAAGAGATACCCCCAGAAAGAAACTTTACCAGCCTCATCCTGCCACTGTCATGAGTCAGGGGTGACTCATAGATGCTGATTCATCGAGATTGCAGAATTGTGAGGAGGGTCTACCTGATACTTCTATTATACAGAATGTTTTCAAATATTCTGCCTCAGAATGGTAATCAGGCTAGCCCCAGAGCAGGTGGGGCAGGCCTAAGAGGTGTTCCTGGACTGATAGTCCTCAGCATAGTATATTCACCCACTGCCCCCCTCTAAATGCAGAAAAGAGGAAAGATGCTTGTGTGTCCCCTGAGAACTGTCAATTCATTGATTTCTTTGCAATAGAGGGTTAGAGGGTGAGTACTACCTTAGCATTAGCTATTAGCACGTGGCCCCTGGACAATAAAAATCACCTCTATACTGGCCCCACCTGACTCCAGTCTTGCTTCCCTTCAACTTTATCATCACAGGTCCTTCTAACCCTGGTAGCTCCCCTCTTTCTACCCAATCTCTGAAAAGGACACACAAAGACTTCAATTATGTAGACCCTCAGACCCTCTCCTTACCATCTCTTGCTTGCTACTCCTACGATACCCTTCTGTCCCTATCAATCCTTGCACACTCTTCTTTTATACTTTAGAAGTACCGAGCCACCTGCAGGTGCCTGGAGGCACTACGCCCCACACTTGCACATAACGCTGTTCCCTTCGCCTGGATTCTGGGTTTGGGAACACACAGGCTGTATAAAGAGCCAACATTTATTGAGTGCTATGTTCCAGACACTATATGAATTCATTTCTAATAACACTCTATATGTATTATCCCACTTAAACGTCACAACAATCTTATGAGATCAGAAAATTAAAATCCTTCTTTTCAGGTGAGGAAATTGAGGCCTAGAGAAATTAAGCAACTTTGCCGTGATTCCCAAGGGCTTATAGGTAGTGAATCTAGGAGCTGAAGCCAGACAGTGTGATGCCAAAGCTCACACTGTTAATCATCACACTGTGCTGACTCTGAATCACAGATGAGAGGGGTTGACCTGATGTTATTGTAAATTTCTAATAGTAGGAAAAGACCCAGAATTAAAAATCACTTGTCTAATTTAGGCATGGTGGCTTTAAAATTGGAAGTTATTACAATGATAAACTCAAGGTCAACATTAGGTTATGGTATTTGTATCATATTTTAGAGAACAGTTTTATTGTATTTAATTAGCTTTGTTCATAGATGTCCTGTCAACAAATGTCTTTGTCTTTTAGAAGACATCTCTCCTAAGATACTGCCATCACACTTGAAGAGAAATAAGATGCAAAGGTACAAGGCTTCTCAGAGGGCAAGAAGGTATGTTCTGGCACTTTCTCACCGTGAGACCTGCAATTCCAATACCGACAATTCCGATGAGCTGGAGCTTAACACTGATTATGGTCTCAATTTCATCAATGCAGTTCTGTTGTGGAAAAAAAGACTCAGGAATAACAACTGATGGTACAGTAGTCCCCCCTTACCCATGGGGGATACATCCCAAGACCCCCAGTGGAAGCCCGAAACCGCAGATAGTACCAAACCCTGTATATACTATGTTTTCCCTACACATACATTCCTTTGCACTTAGAGGAAGTACTTTACAGTTTCTCTTTGGCATATCTGAATTGCCAGCATCACTACTCTTGCCATTTGGGGCCATTATTGAGTAAAATAAGGGTGACTTGAACACAAGCACTGTGACACTGTGACGGTCGATCTGATAACTGAGAGGGCTACTAAGTGATTGAAGGGCAGGTAGCGTGTACAGCGTGAAAGGGACCACGTGTTTTTCAAAGAGTTTTCAGAACCTGGCATAGTTCTGACACAGCACTTAACAGTGAAGCATATATCAGCGCTGGGCCTCCCGTGGAGAGGCAAGGGTAGCACCTTGGGTGTGTACCTCTGGCCCTGGTGAGCTGAAATTTTTGTTGTTGTTAATCCTCACCCGAGGATATTTTTCCATTGATTTTTAGAGAGAGTGGGAAGGAGGGAGAGAGACAGAGAGAGAAACATCGATGTGAGAGACACATCAATTTGGTTGCCTCCTGCACATGCTCAGGGCTGGGGATTGAGCCTGCAACTGAGGTACATGCCCTTGACAGGAATCAAACCTGGGACCCTTCAGTCCACGGGCCAACACTCCATCCACTGAGCCAAACTGGCTAGGGCCCTGGTGAGCTTAATTAATGCCAGAGAATCTGCATCATTCCCCGGGTCCTGGGAGACTGGGCCTCCGCACTGCTCCCCTTACGTTACAAAGAATAAAGCCAAGGCCCGGAAGGCACAGGGAGAGGGCCTCCGAGAAAGTCTCCACCCAGAGGCAGAGGCCATCTTACACTCCAGGCAGGAGAGGGCCCTGCCGGACACGCTTACCTTGTGTCCCAGAAGCTCCTTTGGGCATGTGGGTTGGACCTGTTCAGAACTTTCTTTTCCGCAGCACTGAAACTAGAGTCAGAAAAGAGCTTTAGGACCGGGACGGGGAGCAGCAGCTGCACTCTGGGCGCCATTGCTAAGGACCGGGTGCGGCAGCAGCACAGCAGCGACGAGGCCCCGTCACCGCACCCTGGAAAGAGCGGAGCCCCATAATTGTGCAGGCAGAACAAGAAAGTGACTTCTCTAAAGTTGGCTGAGTTTTATGATGGGAAGTGACTCAAGACAACCCAAACAGGGCACGAAGTTAATTTCAGTGTCTGTGTGAACTGCTGTTTTTTAGACAGGAGGTGGGCCTTCAGATTTTTTTCTTTCAGCCTGGGGTTAATTTAACCTGCCGAGTAGCTGAAGTTTTATGAGCTTTGGGAAGGGCTCATTCACTGGGGACAGTCTGGGACGGAGCAGAAGAGTGGCCACAGTAAACTCCAGGGGCTAAAAGATCAGGGCTTGAGACTGGCCAGCACACAGGTGTCCTGCCCTGGGGCTGGCCCTTCAAAGACAAAGGAACCTGTGTGCAGGCAGGTCCTGGGGGAGGGGAGGCTGAACAGGATAAATCTGGGCACCTTCCAGGTCATTCCCGTGACAGACAAGAACTGGGCTACCTGAAAACACCTGGCCCAGAGGCATCGCTCCGTCTCTGTGTCACAGTGGTTAGGTCCACAGGACTCTGTGAGCCTCCCTTCATGACGGCATGTAGCCCCGAGCTGGGCACGGAGGCAGGTCTTCCCAGAAGAAAAGGAACTTGCTGTGTCAGGTGCCCCTTTAGTTTACAAACGAGGGAGCCGAGTATCAGGGAGGCAAGGAACTTGCTCCAGGTCACAGAGCTGTCCAGAGGCCGAGCTGCAGCTAAGAATGACCTTTTCTGACCTGAAGGTCATGGTTGTCTCTGTTACACCATAATGGCCCCTTTGGAGAGAAGCTGATGTGTATTTGGGCTGTTTTCTGGGCATTCTTATTTGTGCTCTTTTGTCTCTTTGGGGCACATGTCCTGACTTCCTCTCATGAACTCTGTGTTGGGCCTCTTTCTCTACCGCAGTGGTTCTCAACCTTCTGGCCCTTTAAATACAGTTCCTCATGTTGTGACCCAACCATAAAATTATTTTCGTTGCTACTTCATAACTGTCATGTTGCTACTGTTATGAATCGTAATGTAAATATCTGATATGCAGGATGGTCTTAGGCAATCCCTGTGAAAGGGTCATTCGACCACCAAAGGGGTCTCGACCCACAGGTTGAGAACCGCTGCTCTACCGGATTCTATGCAGGTGAACTTGGCTCCCATGAGGGCAGAAATACAGTGTTGCTACTGCACTTGGCCTCATTGGATTTACTCTTGTTTATTGATTGATTGAAATTTACCAAAAAGAAAGTTTTATTTCTTTCTAAGTGTTTTAAAAATTAGGCCTATGCAACCTAATTATATAGTAGAACCCACTATATAAAAGCCAAATAAAATTTACAACTCTGGAAAACATAAAAAATATATTTTTTTGCTATTATATTTGTCAGTCTTTGTGAATTAAAGCTGCTTGCTTAAATATCATGGCAAATAATGAATAAATATGCAAATAATGTATATACTATGATATGAATTCTTGAACATCTCTTTAGGTTGGGAGAATAGCATGAGGAAATATTTAGTAAGAAACTCTAGATATTGGAAAATTCTTTATGGATGTTTTCCAACAGTAAACTTACACTATTAGTATATGTATATATATATATATATACATGCACATAGAAATACATGTACACATATATATACACATATATTTTATAACATGTAATTTATAAAACATATGCAATATCACATGCATCTTATTTTTAATCCAGATGATCAGAGAGAACCTGGCTCGCGCGTCATCTTTAGAAGATGCGATTTTAAGGAAGAAGTAAAGTTACTTACTGCTGAGTGGAAGGTAATGAGAGTCCCGTTTCCCCTTCCCCTGTCTTTAAGGTAATCATTATAAGCCTCTTCATACATGGTCTGAACATGTCGGATAGCCTGAAAAATACCAGGAAAACCGAGGGGATGGTGAGTGGGAAGTTTCAAACGTTCTCCTTATATCAAGGAATACCCCCTCTTCCTTGCCCTTCAAAAATACGACCTTTCCATATGTTTACCTGTATTTTTAAGATAATGCTGCATATATGGAACAGATGATAGATTCTGGAGTTTCTAAGCAACTTTTGAAGATGGAAGGATAGACTAATCAAGAACAATTTTCATAGACTAGAAAGATTTCTTACAGTGGAGGGTCTCGAACCTGAATGCACATCAGCATCAACTGGATGCCAGCCTTCCAGGCCGCCCAGGTGATTGTGATGCATGGCCAGGTCAGGGCCTATGCTGCTTGGTACCCCACTGGTAAAAGTGCTCAAATCTTTTCATGACACGGTTTCAAAGGTTTCTGACCAGGGAAACCTGTCAGCATTCAAATATCACACAAAATTCAGAGAACAATTTTTTCTAGTATGAAGGCCTGGGATCCCAAATCCACAGAAATCTCAAAAAATCATGAGACCAATTCCTTTACTTACTAACATAACCAGCTACCTTAGGAAAATGCCAAACAAGGTGATATTTATTTATTATACATGTTTACCATTTTTTAAAATCTAAAATAATTTCATAAACACCATAGCGACAGCCCGTGAGTTTATGTGAAATATAGTAAATTTAAGATTCCATTCTTGTTCCTGTCCCTTTTCACTCCTCTCTTTACCACAGTGTGTTTTAATCTCCTGAAAGGCCACTTCCTCTGTGGGTTCTCCCGATAGCCTGTTCTGGATACCTACAGTCTGAGCACAAATCTAAATAAACTGGCTTCACTGGCTCACAGAGGTCAGCGTTAGTTTTTGAGGGTGTCCTGGCCCCTATCCAGGCCAAGCCCTAAGGACAAATGATGGTCACAAGGGATGAGAATGCACATTCTCCCCGAGCCCTCTTCCTCATGTCTGCAATCTGACCCCTATTCCATTTCAAACCGGATAATCTTATACTATTGATCCTTTAAAAAAAAATCATAGACCCCTTTATAAATCTAATGAAAGTTATGACCTATCTCCCCCCAAAAATATGTGCACATATGTGCCGCACACTCATATGCTCAGTTCCAAACAATACTTCTAGGTTAAAGAGTTCTGCGTAAACAATATTTGTGGGGATTATTTGGTTTTGTAATATCACTGTGGGTATCACTGTCCTCATTTCCTTTGCCATAACAGGAACACTTTAACCATTATGAAAAGAAACTGTAAGTCGGTTTTACTTACTATATCCTTGCCTATGAAAGCAAACACTCCAGTGGTTACTTCAGCAGCAAATATCACCAGCAGGCAGGTGAAAAACTGCAAAGAGAAGATACTAACTTCACCAATTCAGTAACTTTTCAATGTATCTAGCCTCTTTGATTCTAGTTCCACTTGAAAACCATTAGGCAAGGTTATTTCTTTGAATTGATATAGCAAAAAGCATTTGCACTGTAGTACCCTTGTAGTTCATTCGTTCGTTCATTCATTACTTCATTCATGTAGCAATTGTTTATTGAGCATTTATTCTGTGCCAGGCACTGTCCTTGGTGCTGGGTGTGCAGTGGTGCATAACTAAGATCCTCATGCCTCTGCTATCATGGACCTCATATTAGAAAGGAGAAGAGATGATAAATGAGTAAAGCAATAAAAGTTGAGTAAGAAAATTTCAGATAGCGATATAGAAATCCCACCACCTGTGTTCAGTGAGCACTCGGTGGACAAAAGAGGTTCTGTAAAAACGTAAGAGAGGCAGCAGAGAGGGACTGGTGGGGCCTGGCTTTGGGGAAGGTGTGACCTGAGACTGCAGTCTGGAAGCTTTTTTGAGGAGGTGGCGGTGGAGGTGGAGGTGCCCTGGACAGATTTCTGTTCCAGCCTATTGGGTCTGCTCTGACCTAACTCAGCTCAGTGATGAGCAAGAGAGAGAGATGCTTGGCAGGGGAAAGAGAGAGAATGGAGGGTAAGGAAATGAGTTAGACATTTTACGTCGCAAAAATCAACGACTGCAATGAGCAAGGACAAGTGGCCTAATGCACCTGCTGTGTCTGACGCCTTGTGGAGAAATAGAAACACTTCTCTTCCTGCCCGGCTTCTCCCTTCTCCCTGCTTCTCTTAGGTCACGCTGGCATTGGCTGCGTAGCAGTTAACAGCAATTATTCCATGTTTTAAAAGACACAGGCTGCTTGTTCAAATGGGCCACAAGAGGGGTGTCTGGTGAAGGTATTGCTCTCAAATGGCAATGCTTTTCCTGTAGATAACAGCCCTTCCCTGGCTATTGGAACCTGTTAGCTGCCTCACTTGCTATGAAACAGTATTTTTTTAAAGAACAATCATAATTGCCCCTTTTAATTACTAGACACGTTTCCTCCCCAAACATCTTTACACTAATGACCTCATTCCCCGCCCCCACCCTCCCAGACTTTCCACTTGAGGCCAGGACAAAGATAATATTGTTCTTATGCAAGCGATGGAGGAACGAGACTCAGGGAGAGGGGTGATTGCCAAGGTCTCAGTGGGTCAGGGAAAGAGCTGGCTTGGAGGCCAGACGTGGGGCTCCCTGAAGGTCAATTCCCTTCCCTCTCCCCGCTGGCGCCCACTTACAGATCCGAGCACACACTGTGACTCCCGCATGGCTCCGCAGCACCCGAAGAAGCCCACGGCCATCATCAGGGCCCCTGCTCCCACCAGCACGTAGAGCCCTGTGGGAAGAGGGTGGACGGGACGCTGATCCCAGCACGTGCTCCCTGCACGGTCCTGCCACCACTGCTCCAGTGGCTGCAGGGCAGGACACTGGCTGTTAATAATACAGTGGGTGACACTTGTGGAAAGCTTGCTGAGTCTTCACTCACCTGATTTAAGCCGCACAAGGATCTTGAGAGGTAGGGCTCCTATTGTCCCCCATGAGCAAAGAAAGCCGAGCTTACCAAGGTGAGGGGACCTGCTCGGCAAGGAGTGGAAGCTGGCTGGTCTGTCCCAGCTCCACTCCCCCTGCTCTCAATCCTCCCACAGGCCTCCTGTATGCCAGGCACCTCATCTTTCCGATTCCCATCAGCCCTGGGGAGTGGGTGTTGCTACCATTGGTGTGAAATTGATGACATTGAGTCAGAAGCAGTCAGGAGTCAGTGCCAGAGCGGGGCCCCCCCCCCCCCACCACCACCCTAGGAGCCCCTTGCTGCTCATGGGACTCTGGAATTAATGGCTGTCTCCATCTCCTGAGAGGCCATGAGGACACAGTGTCTGGGAGGGAAAGGGGGCTGACATCTACCCAGGCACAGATGGGGAAGCAGGCAGAGGATGGGACACAAGAGGGGGCTTTGGTTAAGGAGAGGAGGGAGGACACAGCGATCAGGCAATAGGTTTTGTGTGAATTTTAAACTTTGGAGGGCAACACCATATACACTGGACCTATGGGAGGTTGTGTTACAAGAACAACCCCTGAGGAGGTGAGAAGGTAACATACTAGTACAGCAAATAATGCTGCTATTAATATAACACCAGCTACCTTTATTAAGGGCTCATTTTCTCCAGGCACTGATTTATTCATTTAATCTTCACGAAGCGATACCATTATTATCTCCATTTTTTTTTTAGACAGAGGAACTGGGCTCCAAAAGGTTAAGCAATTTGCCTGAGATCATCGAGCTGGGATAAAAATATCCATCTCATGGCCATTTTCCTACCCTGCCTCTGCAGCATAATAGCAGCCTTAATTCAGCGGGAATTCCACTTACTACCGAAGTCGGGCCACAGGAACAGTTGTTCTCACAGGGGAAGAAAAGGGCAGAGATGTTCTTGTTCTGAGAGAAACGAAGCCAAGTCTTTTCTTATTTCCTCCTCTGATCCTGAGATAAGTTAGAACACAATACCAGGCCTGGCATTTGACTCGCTTAGAAAAATGCCGATCGCCACTATGTTATTTTTTTGCATTTTATTCATATGAGTCACCTGGAAACCACTCCCATTCACAGCAAGGGTGGGGAGCTGGGTGCCACACCCATGGGGAAACCCTGAGCCTGGCCTGCAGGGTCCCTCCTGGGGCCCCTCTGGGTGCTGACAGTGTTTGTGGGCACTGACCGATCTGTTCCCCGACGCGGATGGAGCAGTAGCTAGGCTGCTCTGCTTCCTGCCAGGCACGCACTGTTCTCGGGCCCTTTTCTGGGCCAGGGAAGCCCTTTGCTCTGCAGTCCTAGGAGCTTTGCCACTTCCTCCTCTCTCCTTCCCTCTAAAGGAGTGATTGAATGGGGAACGGATGTGATAACGAGAGAAATGATTCCATATTTAAATACTAGTAATACTATTATTGGTCCCACTGCCTAAACACCTTATTGTTTTTAAAAATTTAAGTTTCAAAGCGTTTTTGTTTCTATCATCTCATTGACTCCGCAAAACACCCCCATAGGTAAAGCAAGTGTTACATTTCTCTTTTACTCATGGGGGTCAGGGGAGCAAGAGGGCTCCAGGCAGGACGCACAGGCTGGAGGAGGTTCCCACCCCACCCACACAGGCTCAGGGCAGCCACCACACCGCCTAGTCAGTTTCCTCACAGAATGTCTCATGGGCGGACCACCTCATTGTATCCGTTTCCTGCTTACAACCGTTCATTGCCTCCCCACTGCAAGACACAGTCCACAGGTTCTGCTTGGGGCCACAGCCTAGGCCCCCCACCCCCTGATCCTTATCCATCTTGCACTCCAGCCACATGGGAATTCACTGGGCTCGAACCCCACCTGCTCTTTTCCATTTTGTGCATTTGCAGGTTCTCATATGTGTCTTTCTCTGTAGATGTTAAACCTTATTCATCTGACCTAGAATATGCCTAGTACATGGCAGAAATCTCAGTCAGTGCTGTTGGGTGTGAAGAGTAAGAGAGCAAACCAGTTCTGAAGTCCTGTGCTGGCTGTCTGCCATCGCTCATCGTGACTTAAGAGACACACGCTGGAAAAACATCCCAGCAGATGTCCAAGAAGCCACACAGGGCTGGGCTCTCCCAAGGTCAAGTAGCTGAGGACATGGCTGCATTCCCTGAGAAAAGGCCCCAGTGCAGCAGACAGAGGCCCCAGGGCCTGAGGAGGACAGAGCTGCCCCCGCTGGCAACAAGCTCGCTGGTCCCTCGGGCAGGGTCCTTGCCCTTCTGAAATCATGAGCTCCCTGAGAAAATGTGCTTATTTGTACAATATTATTTGTATTCATATGTTAGGCTGTCAGAGTCCCAGAACTCACAGCAAAACACCCTGATGCTGCCCCAGCAGCCCCAGTCCCTGAGGCCTCTCCTTAGCAAACCTCTGTGTGTATTGGGCCCCTGACTCAGCCCAGCGCCAATGAGCCCTGGTTGTTGGAGCTGAAGGGAAGATCAGGAGAAACTCAACAAGTGGCAAGGTCCCTTGGGCCTGCTGATCTAGTTGTTAATACTCAGCACACCACTGTGGCTTCCCAGGCTACCTTATTCTCTTCTGATCTGGCTCCAAAAATAGCTATTGAATGAATACATTAATTGTCACATTTTAATTCCAAGATGGTTTCTGCAGAGCCCTCTCCCTCCCGCAGCAGCCTGTGTGACAAGTGTCTGACCTATTTCCCAATTCCCCAGGCTTCCCGAGGCCTATTCCCCTGGACTTGGAAAGAAGAGAAACCACTTTGAAATTGCATTTTTATCACAGCTGGGCCTCCAGATGCGTGATCCCCAGGTGACATGCTGCCAGAAATGCCCTGACCACACCCTCACTTGTTTCTTAGGTCTCAGATTCTTCTTTTCAGTTAACACGGAGAGGAGACACAGCGCCCTCCTCAAAGCCCTGTCTGCGTCCATCCGGGTGGCTTTACAATGGCCCTCCCTTCAGGGACTGGATGGTGCGTGGCACGGTCATTAATTACAGTGGTTTTGTGGCAGCAGATGGTTTTCATAGCCGGCTAATGACTATTTTTCATCTAAAAATATTTTTCTATGCCTCTGCAACTCTCCCTCCCTCTCTGCCAGCTTGCCCTGGACGCACATAATTATAGGTGTGTCTGGAACCACTGTGGCTTCCCAGGCTACCTTATTCTCTTCTGATCTGGCTCCAAAAATAGCTATTGAATGAATACATTAATTGTCACATTTTAATTCCAAGATGGTTTCTGCAGAGCCCTCTCCCTCCCGCAGCAGCCTGTGTGACAAGTGTCTGACCTATTTCCCAATTCCCCAGGCTTCCCGAGGCCTATTCCCCTGGACTTGGAAAGAAGAGAAACCACTTTGAAATTGCATTTTTATCACAGCTGGGCCTCCAGATGCGTGATCCCCAGGTGACATGCTGCTAGAAATGCCCTGACCACACCCTCACTTGTTTTTTAGGTCTAAGCTTCTTCTTTTCAGTTAACACAGAGAGGAGACACAGCGCCCTCTTCAAAGCCCTGTCTGCGTCCGTCCGGGTGGCTTTACAATGGCCCCCCCTTCAGGGACCGGATGGTGCGTGGCACGGTCATTAATTACAGTGGCTTTGTGGCAGCAGATGGTTTTCATAGCTGGCTAATGACTATTTTTCATCTAAAAATATTTTTCTATGCCTCTGCAACTCTCCCTCCCTCTCTGCCAGCTTGCCCTGGACGCACATAATTATAGGTGTGTCTGGAATATTGGATGGGACTTAGTTCATGGGAAGGTGAAATCTTGGGTTCTCTCTAAGGAACAGGAGCCGTCAGTTACTGAGCACTGTTCTAACGTGTCAGTCACAGAGTCATTCAACCCACTTCCCAGAGCCTGGGCCTGGACAGTGCAGTCAACAGGAACCTGCTGCTTGAGAAGACAAGCAGTGACATCAGCCACTCTCCTGTTCTGACTACCTGGTGTCTAACCCCTCCTTTCGTCTCGTGTTCTCTTATGCGCCCGCAGGCTGGCTCTCTCTGCAGCCTGCCCTCATTCCAGTAATAACCACAGCAAATATTTATTCAGGGCTATGACAGATCAGGTATTAAATCTGTTAAATCATCTACTCACACTGCCCTATGAAGTATTTATATTGCACAGCTGAGGAATCTGAGACTCAGAGAAGGTAAGTGATTTTCCTCAGAGTGCACAGCTAGTGAGGGGCAAACCTGGCCTGAGCCAGGGCTCAGCTCCGAAGTGCACACCCGAACTCCTTCCAATAGGAACTCAGAACGGGGACTCTCTTAGCTCGAAATCCATTAATTTTGCAATTTGTAAGTGCAGGAGGGTTCTTTTTCTTCTTGCTTGGGAAAAGCACTGGGAGTGGGGGGGGTGGGGGAGGGGAGAGCTGTTCTAGATTACTTGTGGGTTTTCCTGGAAAAGTACAGAGCTGGGAGCCAGAGATCCAGGGCTGCCAACTGGCTTTCGGTAAAGCCTCTTGTTCCTCAGTTTTGTTATCTGCGATATGGCCATAACGATCCACTCTCTTCTTAAGATGCTTTGGAGAAATTGTCTCAGCCACGTCAGCTACAGCCCATCTCTGTTATGCAGCTACCACGACTCTCGGGTACAACTGAGAACCCAGAAGTAAAAAAAAAAAAGGACCAGAGTGAGTCAGTGTTTAAAAGGCAAGCCAGCCCCTCAGCAGGCAGCCTGGAACACAGTCTGTACACATCCAGCCGCAATCCAAGCCAGGCTCCACGACGGAATTCGACAGGGAGCGGCAGCCCCAGTCGGCCAGGATCCTGGAGAGCCCAGCGGCTGCTGTCTGTGGGCAACCCCTCTGTGCAGCCAACCTGC